GAGGGCTGGCTGTAGCTGGTGGGTTAGCCAGCCTACAGAGTCTTCAACAATGGGAGAATTACTTTCAGACTTACAGTGTTGTATGCTTTCAGCTTCTACCAGGGCACACTATTAGAACCAGTTATATGAATTCTAGTGTTGTTTTTCTAGTAAGAACATTCTGTTCATGAAGATGTTGTCCAAAGTAAAAAAATATGATCTAATAAGGCCCATATGAGAAACTCTTCTCAGACTCTATGCTGTCTTCTCCCTCCAATGCCATGTCCACTCCAGAGACAATGTTTATCCCACACAGAAGCCACATTGCTGGCATTGAACCATTGTCTACGAGGTTCAGCGTTTCAACATATACTGGGGAACTGGGCAAAGTTCTTGCTGCTCCAAGACCTATAAGATCTCTCTCTCCTTGTTACCTTCTGAGACTTTTCCACTCTTTCCAAACTCTGTTTTTCCCAATAGATTTAAGTATTTGCAAATAAATCCTCAGTGGAATTTTTAAAAAATTATTTTGAGTGCTACTATACTTCCCCTGATGGAAAGCAGCACAGTCTACTGTTATAAAAGAAAAAATACAGGCAGAAATTATAAATTAGTATTTCAAGAATTATTTGGCCACAGACTTTACCATTTAAACTCTTCAATAACAAATTAAGATGTTTGGTAGTTAATGTGTCTCTCCTGATTGTAAGCTCCACTTACTTTACCAACACTATTCAAGGATTCTTCTGTTCCTCACTTTTTGTCAAATTTTCACTCAAGGCACACCCACCTCCACTCCCTTTGCTCTTTGTAGACAACCACAAGAAACCTTCTTAGTAAGAAGAAACTGATTGGCCCCTTCCTTCACCCCTCTATTGCCATTCACCCTCTTTTCCTTCATTTTTGTCTGTCAGGAAATGTTTTTCCTTATTCTAGTCAAGGTTGACCCCTCCAGCTGCTTGTGATCTCATCACTTTCTCTGCCATTTTTAATCCTTGAGCATCTTCCACTCTGTGCATTTCAATTTCTGCCGCCACTTGGACTCCTCCTCTTTGCCTTCTAAGGCATTTTTTAAACACTCTAGGAACTAGTGTCCTCTTCCTCCCCTAGATTTCTTGGAAGAGCGATATATACCTGTGGCCTCCACTTTCTCACTATTTTCTCAACAACTTACAAACTCACGATTATAGAGAAATCGTTATATCCAACAACCATCTTGCAGTCCTCTTCCTCCTGAAAGTCTGCTTGTTACAGTTCAGGTGAGACTCACTGCCCTCTTTCTGGCCTCTCCTCCCATCTCAGTCATGCTAGAACTAGGAGAACCAGTTAGAACATCATTATGATAACCTAGATCAGAGTCAAGAGACTACATGCAGCCCATTGTCTGTTTTCATAAAGTTTTATTGGCACACCCATTCATTTGCATATTGTCTATGGTTGTTTTCATGCTCCAATGGCAGAACTGAGTAGTTGTGACAAGATGCTGCCTGACCTGCAAAGCCTAAAATATTTAATAACTGGTCCTTTATAGAAAATTTTGCTGACCCCTTTCTAGATGATCTAGACAATCTAGACCAAATAAAAAAATGCATCCCATGTTTCCAAAATGTAAAAATCAAAAGGAAATGACTACAAGATATACTTGGAGATATCACTGATGAAAATTAATGGCTAATGGAAGAAGTACAGTAAGAAAACACAATTTTTAGAATGACATCTAGAGAATTCAGTTGTGATGTATGGCTAAATAGTGCCGTGCTAACTAAGAGAGGGAACATGAAGCCAAGAAGTTTGGGTGAGGCAGTGACACAGAAAGGGAAAATATGATCATGATTTTACGTAGAGCTATTTTATATATTCTATTATATCCAGAGAGAGAGAGAGAGAGAGAGAGAGAGAGAGAAATATATATGACTTCAACGCCCAGGAGAAAAATTGCGGCAGGAGAGAAAATTTGGGAATGTTTATGTTCCAGAAAAAGAAAAGATATGAAACAGGAAATGTTCACAATTAGGAAGTTCCAATGCATCAATTTCTCAATTGTCAAGTTCTGCACACCATTCCTTTCTCATTACACTTCATACTTCTCAGATGATTTTAGCATGTACAATTGACCCTCATTATTCAGATTCCATAATGCAAATTTACCTACTTGCTAAAATTTATTTGTAACCCCAAAATCAGCATGTGTGTTGCTTTCAGT